CAGGAGGCTGGCTTCTGTAAAGAAACAGAAAGAGAAATTTAAAGTCAGTGCAAGTTCACCCCCTTCATTTCTCCCTGATCACAGTTATCATCAATACAGCCAGTACAAATGGATATGCCTCCTGTTCGCCATTTCTTAATGAGCAGATATTGAAACACTTCTCAGAGAGCGCTGGATATAAAGTACTAACTACGGCATGAGTTTTAACAGTGCTTTGGGGAAAGAAGAGAGAAATTAGTTTCCTTACTGATGCATTACATTAGACACAAAAAGCAAGACATACTTTGGGATTGACGCTGCAGAGTTCATTTGTACTCAAGGTCACATCAGATTTTAGAACGGCTCCATTAAGAAGCTGCACTTTTCAGATGAGAGACAAAGCAAGGTCAGCTTATGTTAAAAGGCGAAGTGCAAAGCCAAAATAAAAACAGAGGCAAGCCCAGTTCTGCGTACTGATTCCTACCTTGCTCAGGCCAGACCTTCATCTAGGAAATAGGTTAATTTACCCTTTGGAAGTTTCCTAGGCCTTCTGTGATCAAGGCAGATTTTGGGAGAGATCTCTGAAAGCATCATTTCAAGGCATCACAGATACCAGAAACCTACTGCAGCCTCACACTATCTCACAGAGCGAGACGTTCAAGGGCATTCATCACATGCCAGAAAGCAGCAGCCGAGCTTCACACAAAGCAAGCGTACCCGGCTTAGCTAAAACATCTCCTCCCTGACGGTCCCCCAGCTTGGTGTGGTCAGTGGAGGACAACAGGGCTTCGTTTCATTCGGCTTGGCAATGCGAGCGCAGGTTGCGGGACTCAGCAACACCACAAGCAAGAGCCCTGAGGGGATTCCTCAGGATAATCGCCTCGCCTGCCAAACGGCACTGAGGCCAAATGCCACCTACAAACCCCGCGAGGCAGCTCGTTTCTCTTCCCACCGCATGCTTCGTGCAGCACTGACTGCAAGGCAGCGGCACAGGGGGCAGCTTCGTGAGGTCCAGTAGGCGAAGGGAACCATGGGTTTGGCCCGTTGAACAGCACCCAAGCCCTTCAGCTGCAGAAGCAGAAGTCTGCTCCCGCGGCGAGCGACATCCTGCAAGCAACGGGGAACTGGAGCCAGCGCGGGACCGTGGGCGGTGGCTGGGATCAGAGGGGTGGGACCCAGCTCCTTCCTCCCACACCCACCCAGCCGTGCCCAGAGCCCGGGCTTTCCTCGCGCGGGCCTCCCTCCTGCAGGGCAAGCCCCACAGCCCCGGCCCGCGGTGGGGCACGCAGGGGCAGCAGCCAGGCCCTCAGCCCAGGCCTGTGGGGGAAGCCGGCCCCGCACAGCTGCGTGGGGAGGGACCCCTGCCTGCACCGCGCCCGGCTACGGC